GTACCTTTATCCGCTTGTAACATCAGGAAATCTGTGATGGCCTTTCGCTGTTCGTAAAGGCGGTCTAACATGTGTAGTGTTGAATTCCACCTTGTTGCAACGTCGCAGATCAGGCGATGCTGTGGAATTCCGTTCTGCCGCTGCAGCTCAAGGAGGGTGTGCTTTGCGGTGTAGGAATGGCTGAAATGCATGCAAAGTTTACGTGACATTTTAAGGATGTCTTGCAGTGGGATGGTGGATTTTAGGAACCGCTTGACAACCAGATTGAACACGTGAGCCATGCATGGCGCATGGCACAACCTTCCTTGACGCAGAGCAGACACCATGTTCTTTCCGTTGTCGGTCAACATGGTTCCGATTTTCAGTTTGCGCGGAGACAGCCATCTGTCGATTTCTCTGTTCATTACACTCAGAAGTTCCTCCCCTGTGTGACTACGTTCGCCAAGGCATACCAGGTGCAGAACAGCGTGACACCGTTGCGCCCTGCACATGTGATATGCCGGTCGGGTAATGGGACTTGGCACGGGGGTGGCGGCTGAGGACACGGCGGAAGAAGAGGTGGTAGAGGCGGACATCTTTGCTGGACCAAGGACGTGCAAACGTGGAGGCAAAAGCGGCGTGACCTGTCCAAGTTGCTGGTGCGGCTGTGCCGGCACCACCTTCACCCAGTGGGCCGTAAAATGACATGTACTGTCCCTGACCGTAGTTACAGCTCCACACGTCGGCGCTGCCGTGCACTTTGGCAGAGACCGACATGCTCAAAGACTGGCCCACCATCTCTTCTACATGTGAATGCAGGGCTGGCACTGCCTTTTTGGCGAAGAAATGCCGGCTTGGCACTCTCCACCACGGCCCGGCACAAGCCATCATTTCTCGGAAAGGTGCTGAGTCCACCACTTGGAAAGGGAGGGACTGCAGCACCAGCAACTTGGACAGGAGGACGTTCAGCTTATGCACCGTCGGGTGCGTGCTCGCAAACTGTTGTCTCTTGGAAACGGATTCCAAGAAAGACTGCTGACGGAATCCGTGAAGAGGAGTAGCAGGAGAAGGAGCATCTGAACGAGCGGAAGATGCCAACGAGCGACAACTCCCCTCAGCAGAGGTGTTGGAGCCTTGACTGGCTGATAGAGGGCGATTGACGTCGGGTGACGGAGCAAGTAACGGAGCGGGTGATGGAGCGGGGGCTGGGGCAGGCAGAACCGCCGTATCTTTATCACGGTTTTCCCAGGCCACCGAATGGCGACGCTGCATATGCTGACGCTACGCTGTAGTCCCAACATGGGCCCCCTGGCCACGCTTGACTTTCTGGCCACATAGTTGACTTACGGCTACGTTTACTTCCTCGGGCGGCTTGACGAAAAATTGCCACACCGCCGAGTAGGAATCTTTGCCCCCGCTACTCCTCACTGGCTGACTGCTACTTCCTCCGTGCACACCGGCACCACTACTGGCCGTGGTGGTAGGCTGCAGTGGAGCTGGTGCTCTACTCCATGGCCTTTTGCCTCCACTGACACTGCTGCCTCCTGGGCAACCCACCGACTGTTTTGCTCGCTGGCAAGCTGGCACCCTCTTCTCCTGATGATGCGGAAGCAATAGCCTGATGACGACGAGGCTGCCAAGTGCGATCAGCCTCATCATCATCAATTAGGGTCTCCCGCGTCACTACTAGCCCCCTCGGCTGTGTGTGGGTCAGGAGACAGACCTGTCTCTAGACCGGCTACCGAGCCACTCTCCTCGCCAGTACTTCTTCGCCTGGCTGCTGAAGAGGCGGATGTCTCCCCCCGTTCCTGACCGCCCGCTGTTAGCTCTTCCTCACTGTACAGTGGGGCTGAGCCCACAGCATGCGATACTTCGCTTGGTGAGGTAACACCAAAGGACAGGGGCAGGTAGAGGACACGTGATTTCAGTGGGCTTGCTCCCGGGCCATGCCAACTAACGGTTGTGTCTGATGTACCCACCGACCGTTGGCTGTAGGTGTCAGAGGTGACCTGGGAAGAGGAAGACGACCGAGTCAACCAATCGATGACGGCAGGGTTGTCGGTGGAGACACGACCGCTGGATGACACCGGGAGCACTGGCTTCTGGCTGCGACTAGTGCTGCCTCGACCCCTTCCTCTGCTGCCACGTCTGCTCGCTCCTAAAACATTGCCTCCTCTGCCACTCCTCTGCATGTTGTCTGACATACTCTTTAATTCAATAGTGGTTGTGAAGCAGAAAGTAACGATTCTGTGTCCCTGAGTAACGATTCTGTGTCCCTGAGTAACGATTCTGTGTCCCTGAGTAACGATTCTGTGGCCCTAAAGTCTCTGTGGCCCTAACTCTGTCCCTAATACAGACAGGTCTGTCTCTCTTGAATGACCGGAGGCTAATGGAGAATTCTAAGATGGCCGCGATTTATAGCTCCACCATTACACAGTGCTGGCTGGCTGGCTGCTGATTGGCTAATGCAATCACATGTCATGAATGAATGCATTATGGGTCAGCGCGCCTTGTCTGCGCGCCTTCCCAGAGATCCCCGCTCCGTCGCCACACATGTCGCCGCCATTTTTGGGAAAATTCGATTCGTGCATCCGAAGTTTGCTAATTTTCAAATTCGGCGCAAATCAAATTTTTCCTAATCTTCGAAACAAATTCCACTTCGTCATGTTCGATTCGCTCATCTCTAATCATGACACTGCCAGATAAATATGTACAATGAATCGGTAGAAATAATATAACGTCTGAAGAACCAAATCGGTTTCCTCGTTGTAGCTAGAAATCAGCAAAATGTTTACAAATTTCTAAGTGATATTCTCTGCAGAGGACTGCATTGCTGTGGCCCCGCCCATTTTCTTCCATCTCCCATCAGGTCCGCTGGATTTATAAACAGACACGTGGATTATCAGTATATGTTTTCCTTTTCACAGTAATATTTTATACATTTGACATTATTATAAAGAAAAGTAAACTGGTGATGATGGTTTGTGTTCTGAAATGTGAAGATGAATGTTTCTGTGTAATCTCCGAGGAAGAAATAGAAAACCATTGAGAAGAAGAATGAGAGATTTCTCTTCTGGAGATGGATTTCTATTGTCATTAAGGGATCTGAAAGGGCGGAACTTGGAGAAAGTTTCTAAATGAATCCAATTGTATTGCGTGTAAAGAATGAGTGTGACTCCGCCTCTTCCCAGGAGGGTTCCCATCAGGTCCGCTCAGGCTGTATAAAAGGAAGGCGGGCCCAGCCCAGAGCTCAGTCGGTGTTTGCAGCAAAGAAGAATCGTCATGTCTGGTCGCGGTAAAGGAGGGAAGGGTCTGGGGAAAGGCGGCGCCAAGCGCCACAGGAAGGTGCTCCGGGATAACATCCAGGGCATCACCAAACCCGCCATCCGCGTTTGGCCCGCAGAGGGGGAGTCAAGCGCATCTCCGGCCTCATCTATGAGGAGACCCGCGGAGTGCTGAAAGTCTTCCTGGAGAATGTCATCCGCGCGATGCCGTCACCTACACCGAGCACGCCAAGAGGAAGACCGTCACCGCCATGGATGTCGTCTATGCTCTCAAACGACAGGGACGCACTCTCTACGGATTCGGAGGATAAATCCTCACAATTGCCTCCCCTTCATCGTCACAAAGGCCCTTCTCAGGGCCGCCCACCTTCTCATACAAAGGGCTATTGATTGATCATCTCCAGGGTTCTATCTGCTCCTCCTGGGGGGAGAAGGATTGCCGCTCATTCCAGGGGGGGATTAAACTATCCGTTAGTCATTCTATATAACAGGATGACGTCATGTATAGAGATATAATTCTGCAGTTCCACCAATGAATCTGTCCAATCACCTGATTATAGTGTGTGTGATCAGTAATCGGGATGGATCTGGTTCGGAATGCCGGATTTTGCATTCTAAGGTCTGAGTGACAAACATGTCGGTGATCGCAATGCGCTTTGTAAACGATTGTGGCCAATCAGCCCCGAATAATGAAAGGGTTAATGGATGTTCATACAAAGAGAAACACATTTGATTCTTCAGATATGTAATATTTCCTCTGTCGATTCATTGTACATATTTTCAATATTCTGGATGTGATATGGGGGGGGGGGGGGGGGATTTGTAATTGCTAAAAGTCTGACGGAAGGACAAATACATATATCTGATGAAGAATCGTACAATACTTTATTCCCATCATATAGAAAGGTAGAGATCTATCTCACTCATGTTCTGTATGTTGGGGGAGGGGAATCCTGGATTCTGAGAATGGATACAAGACAATTTATGGAAGTAATCATCAGAATTCATTTCTAGTCATTGTGATTTAGTCCGCAAACACATTGGATATAGAGGATCCTGGGGACAGAGATAACAGAACAAGGATTGACATGACTCAGTAATCACCGACATCCATCTGTAGACATTCCTGACTAATCAATACATCTACTTGGAATGAGAGCGATGATATTTCTCGGATAAATGTCTCATCTGATGATCTCCTTTGTTCTCCGGCTCGGATTTTGGCGGTATAATCGGGCGGAATATTTGTAACGATCCAGACAATTTCCGGCGGGAAGAATTTGATGACAGTTTGAACTCTGAGCCAATCACAGCTGTGGGCGGTTCCTTCATCATCCAGTAATGTTTTCCTTACGATAAATCCATAGAAATGTATCCGGCTTTTGTATTATGAGAGGGGAAAGCTGAATTCCAAAGTGGAGCCAACAGACAGTTCTGGGCGATTCCTTCAGATAATAAAACATTTGTTTCTTCTCGGAGTTTGATGAGATCTGTTCCCTCAGTCGGGAGGATCGTTGTTCGGTATATATTGAACGATCTCAGATCTTCAGGAGAAACTCCTCACAAGTGAAAGGTGGAGATCAGTCCCCGGACTCCGATGTCCATTTCCTGGAATCTCACACTGAAATCATTTGTATTATTAATTGTATGAACCTTCATAATTGTCATCATAATGAAATGTAACATTTATAATGTTCTCTACATAGATGGATTGTCCAATCACGTGATGTCAGGATATTAGACTTGAGGGGGGTCATCCCTCCCAGGACTTGGTGTCCTATCACCTCCCCGGGAGATAGAGAGGAGTGTGGGATTGGTGTCATAGATAGAAGCCGTATGTCCGCCCTTTGTATGGAGATGTGGGGGGCTCTGAGAAGAGCCGTTGTGTTGGCGGATAGAAGGGAATCCTGTGGGGGGATTACTTGCTCTTGGCGGCCTTGTGGCTCTCGGTCTTCTTGGGCAGCAGCACGGCCTGGATGTTGGGCAGGACTCTCCTCCCTGGGCGATGGTGACGCCGCCCAGCAGCTTGTTGAGCTCCTCGTCGTTGCGGACAGCCAGCTGGAGGTGTCGGGGGATGATGCGGGTCTTCTTGTTGTCTCGGGCGGCGTTGCCGGCCAGCTCCAGGATCTCAGCCGTCAGATACTCCAGGACGGCGGCCAGATAGACGGGAGCTCCGGCCCCGACCCGCTCGGCATAGTTGCCCTTCCGGAGCAGACGGTGAACACGACCGACGGGGAACTGCAGACCGGCCCGGGACGATCGGGTCTTGGCCTTAGCCCGAGTCTTGCCTCCTTGTTTGCCACGACCAGACATGATTGGATGACTGACGAATCACACACAGATAGGCCCCAGCAGCCGCTTCCTCTCCTTTATACACTCCATGCTCTGACGTCACACGCTGGGATTGGTTGCTTTTGAATTAAGCCAATAGTGATCAGACTTGTTTCTACATCAATCAGGGCACGAGGATAGACAGCATGACGTCACTTTCATCACATGTCGACGTTCTCCAATAGGAAGTGTGAGGCAGTACGAAGCTCCTTTGCATAGGCCGCCTATAAAATCAGCACATGAGGGCGGCTCCAGCACACTTTCCCCGCAGCCAGCCAAGCAGTGGTGAACCCTGATCATGCCTGAACCAGCCAAGTCTGCGCCGGCGCCCAAGAAGGGCTCCAAGAAAGCCGTGACTAAGACCCAGAAGAAGGACGGCAAGAAGCGGAGGAAGACTAGGAAGGAGAGTTATGCCATCTACGTGTACAAGGTGCTCAAGCAGGTCCACCCCGACACCGGCATCTCGTCCAAGGCCATGAGCATCATGAACTCCTTCGTCAATGACATCTTCGAGCGCATCGCCGGCGAAGCTTCCCGCCTGGCTCATTACAACAAGCGCTCCACCATCACCTCCCGGGAGATCCAGACCGCCGTCCGCCTCCTCCTGCCCGGAGAGCTGGCCAAGCACGCCGTCTCCGAGGGCACCAAGGCCGTCACCAAGTACACCAGCGCCAAGTAATCCCCCGGGGCCCCATCATCCCAACAAGGACACAAAGGCTCTTCTAAGAGCCGCCCACCATTCCAATCACTGAGCTGTCATCACATTGTATTGCCGCTAGAGGTCCCCCACACGTCACACTTACACTGGACATTCGTCATTCTGTAGTACAAGGGCCTCCCTCATTGGATACACATTGGAGGGGCACCTGGTTTGGGGGAATCTACAGGAAGGTTGTAGAATGTATGGCCGGCCTTCCATGGGTCATGACATCGGTCATTGTTGTACAATCTGATTGGAAGGTATAAATCTGAAGATGTATTCTAGGTACAAGAAATCCATCCGAGTCCCACATTCCCCTTATTCCGGAATTTCTGATGTTTTCCCTCTTGGAGATGTAAAGGTTCTCATTTGTACATTAAATATTGTCTGCTAGTGGGAGCCGGAAAATAAACCGCCCGATCGCATTGTATATCTTCCCCGATACAGAAGTCAGTATTTCCCATCCTATGGATGGAGGGCGATCCTATAGTATCCAGGAATATAGATCTATAGGGGTCATGGGGGGGGGACAGGTTCGCTTTGTGTTTGATGACATATGTAGGACTATGCACAGAGCAGGCTCATGTCTGGAGACGTGTATACAGGGGGATGCTGCTGGGGGAGGGGGGACATTGTCAGTATACAGGGGGATGCTGCTGGGGGAGGGGGGACATTGTCAGTATACAGGGGGATGCTGCTGGGGGAGGGGGGACATTGTCAGTATACAGGGGGATGCTGCTGGGGGATGGGGGACATTGTCAGTATACAGGGGGATGCTGCTGGGGGAGGGGTGACATTGTCAGTATACAGGGGGATGGGGGACATCGTCAGTATACAGGGGGATGCTGCTGGGGGATGGGGGACATTGTCAGTATACAGGGGGATGCTGCTGGGGGATGGGGGACATTGTCAGTATACAGGGGGATGCTGCTGGGGGAGGGGTGACATTGTCAGTATACAGGGGGATGCTGCTGGGGGATGGGGGACATTGTCAGTATACAGGGGATGCTGCTGGGGGATGGGGGACATTGTCAGTATACAGGGGGATGCTGCTGGGGGATGGGGGACATTGTCAGTATACAGGGGGATGCTGCTGCTGGGGGAGGGGGGACATTGTCAGTATACAGGGGGATGCTGCTGGGGGATGGGGGACATTGTCAGTATACAGGGGGATGCTGCTGGGGGATGGGGGACATTGTCAGGATGGGGACTTCTGGACACACTTGGCCTAGTTTAGGGCTCATCTGCTTCCAGTTATTACTGACACACATCCTGTCATTTGTCTCCTTTTGTCATACATTCCTGGGAGTCTAACTATGGGACATATATACACCATCATCCACCCAACTTACATCGTAGGAAGACACGACTCAGACCATCAGATGGACAAATATTGGCTCTTGTTTTATATCATTGTCGGATTTTGTATTATGAGGGTTTTGAGTGATTAAAAAAAAGAAATTGATCTTCCCAGATAAAACGGTAAATGGATGCGGTCAGTTCTCCGTATCGGATTTGGCGGGAAGAGGGCAGATTGTCTGTGACGTCACATAGAATTCCGGCGGGAGATTTGAATGAAGCAATTAGAAAGTTCAGCCAATGACAGTTATAGACGTTTCCTTCAGATAGTAAAACATCTTTTTTCTACGTGGAGTGTGAAGGAGGTGATGAGATCTGTTCCCTCAGTCGGGAGGATCGTTGTTCGGTATATATTGAACGATCTCTGATCTTCAGGAGAAACTCATCACAACTAAAGGAAGGCGGATAAGATCAGTCCCTGCAATAAGATGTCATTTCCCCAGAGTCTCACACTGAAAGCATTTTCTATGAATGTATAACATTCGGACTTTTCGCTAAGATCAAGTGTAGTATCTGTTCTTAAGAAGAAGAAGAAGAAGGAGAAGGAATCCGATCAAGATCCCTGGGAAGCCCTCCTGAGAACTCCTCTGCGACAAGATGGGGAAGAGACAGACCGAGAAAGCCGCAGAACGCCGCCCCCGCCAAGACCCCGGGAGAAGCCCCCTCCGCCTCCACCTCCACCTCAGATCGCTCCGGCCCTGCAGACGGTCTCCCTCCCCTGGAGCCCTGGATGAAGCAGACAGTCGTGCTGCGGCTGAAAGAAGTGGAAGGCAGAGTCCCGGACATGACCCCGGAAGTCTTTGGGAAGAAAATGATCCTTGAACAAGGATTTAGCAAGGCAGAGACCCTGTCGGTGCAATCCTTCATGAGAGGTATTTTCTTTGTCACTTTTGTTTCCCTACAGGTATGCAGAAGGTACTGGGAGGCAGTGAAGACCTCTGGACCCGACTCCCTCTTCCGCAAGTTCATTGTGAACTCTCCCATCCAAAGGGACGAAAGGCGGATCACGGTGTCCATGAGAAACCCTCACGCCCCTGGTAGAGACATTGCCACCTACCTTCAAAGGTTTTGCGTCGTGTTGAAGGACCCAGTCCGGATACTAGACGCCAACGGCTTCTGGACAGGTAAGTGGGCTGTGTTTTGCAGGCTACTAAGAGATCGTCCCGCTGGAGATCTCCAACACCTGCAACAGTGCTTCTCCCTGGGATCGTCAGCAGGACTCCTACATTACCCCGATCAACCCCAGTCATGCCGCAGGTGCGGCCAGCCGGGGCACGAGGGTAAGGAATGCCATGTGCTTTCATGTAGGTTCTGTCGGTCTGCAGGCCACGAGACCAAGGATTGCCCGAGGTCCTGAACCTGCAACCTCTGTGGACGGTCAGAGCACGTCTACAGAGACTGCCCAGAGAGAAGCAGGACGTACGCTGGGGCCCTGAGCAAGGGCCCTGCCACCAAACCAGCGCCACAGAAACCTCCAAAGGACCCAGGTAAGAGGAACCCTGGTCCCCCTGCCCCTGGCCCCCCTGCCCCTGGCCCCCCTGCCCTCCTGCCCCCCCATGCCCTGTTTCCACCCCCCCCTGACCTGGCCTCACAGGAGGATTTCCCGCCCCTTCCCCCTGCCACCCCCGTCAGCAGCTCTGCGGCGGGGTACAGGAAGCGGAAGAAGGAGCAGGCCAGCCCGGCGGCGGAGGACCCCCTCCTCCGCCACCAAACGGCCTGCCATCCTCCAGAATGTCGCAAGTCCCGACCCCGTGGGGGTGGACCTCGACACGCTGGAGGAAGAAGAGGTGGAAGAAGAGATGGGCTCTGACCCAGTCGGAGCCAGATCTCTCCACCGACTTCGATGAGGTCCTCAACGAGGTCCTCAATCAGATTGGTCTGGGCCAGGACATTTGTCAGGCTGCAGAGGTCACAGAGGTCGCCCCCCCTCTCCAGGGGAGGTAAGCACAGCCCCTGCCGACTAACCCCTTCATCTCTTTCCCATGATGGCTGAGATATCTATCTTTTCCATTAATGTGAGGAGCATCAAGGATGCGTCTAGGAGGCAGACTGTGCTGACCTTTCTTTCCACACAGCAGAGTGATGTGTACATGCTTCAGGAGTGCGCACTTCCCCCTCTGAGGAGGTACACTCATTTGTCCTCCCAGTGGACCCACGGTCCCTCCTACTGGTCTGGGGGTGGCGATTGCAAGTCCGCAGGGGTAGCGGTTCTTATCAGGGGTGGACGTTTCACTGTTGACTCTGTCCACAAGCTCGTCTGTGGCCGCCTTTTGGTCATTGACGGCTCGTGCAAAAATGCAGTTTCTGAGGCAAAACCAAGAAATAGAGAAGAACTGTGGAATGTAGTCCAATCATCCTGGGCTGGAATACTTGATCACAGGGGCCAGAAGTTGGGTGACTCCATACAACACAGATGTACAGCAGTTCTCAGAAACAGTGCGACTACAACCAAATATTCATTAAGTCATTCAAAGGAAAGCAAAATCTTCAAACATTTTCAGTTTATATAGTGAATGTTTGAGTTTGTAAAGAAGAATACAAACACTGCTATTTTTTTGAACCGTCTAATATTCACTTTTCTTCAATTTTTTTAGAGGAACAACACAAATTTGATGTATTTTTCTTCATGTTTTGATTTGGAATAGAATGTGTCGTGTTCCCAATGCATTTGTGTGGATGGAAATAAAAGCTATTAGAAGGATTTTCAGCTTTATTCACTTTTTTCAACACACTGCTATTATTTTGAACACAACTGTATACAGTAAACTCAAAGTTAGTTATACATTTAGGCCAAAATGTATTCTGTTACATGTATTTGGTAAAAAAAAAGATTCCAGTAAGTGTATATTGATTGTTTTGTGTGAAAATTATAGCATCTACAAACTATGGTATAGATACTGCAATTTACATCATTTTTGCTATACAGCGCTGCTCTAGTTTAACTGACAACTGCGCAGTCATGCAATACGGTACATTAATTAAATTTATGTCCTTTTCTCACATAAACATAGATTTTTATTTTGGTAGTATTTTGATCACGTGCGCGCTTTTTTTTTTGCACATTAAACAAAAAAAAAGACTGAAAATTTAGAAAGAAACTCAATATTTTCTAATATCTGTCATAAAAAACATCCAAAAAATTAAAATGTTGTTAAAAAGTTAGTCCAAAATGTACTCTGCTACATATTGTTGGTTAAAAATTCCCAATAAGTGTACATTGATTGCTTTGTGTGAAAGTTATAGCGTCTACAAACTATGGTATAGATAATTAAATTTACACAGCTTTTACTTTCTGACTGCCCATAACATTTATTGAGGTGCTAAAATACCAGGATAGAACAAAAAACCCCAAATGAAAACTTTTCGGAAAGTAGACACCCTAAGCTGTCTGCTAAGAGGCATATTGAGTCCATGGAAGACTTAATTTTGTTTTCACAAGTTTTTGGAAAATTACATTTTTTTTTTTTTGCACAAAGTTGTGATTTAAAATGATATATTTCTCACACAAGCCATGGGTATATGTGGAATTACACCCCAAAATACATTCTGCTACTTCTACCAAGTATGGGGAATACCACATGTGTGAGACTTTTTGGGAGCCTAGCCACATGCAAGAGCCTGAAATCCAATGACTAAGTAATTTTCAGATCTCATTTTTTTCACACAAAGTTTTGAAATATATATATATATATATATATATATATATATAAAAAAAATAAAAATATGTTTTTGTTTCCTTTTTTGAAAATGCAATGCTATCTGAGGTACATCTTAAAACATCTGGGAATGGGAAGGGGGGAGAGATTTTAAAGCAATTTCAAGGTAAAGCTTTATTTTCTCCAATCAGTTTATTTCTTGCAGTTATTACCTTTTGTCCCACCAGCCCCTCTGTACTAGATTGTAAGCTCCCTGGAGCAGGGCCTCCTAACCCTCTTGTATTGAATTGTATTGTTGCTGTATTGTCTCCATTTATATTTTTCACAGCACTGCACAAAGTGTTGGCTCTATATAAATCCTGAATATTATTAATAATAATAATAATAATAATCACCATCATCAGATAATATTAATACGATTCCCTTCTTCTTGGTCTGAGCAAAAGGGGGACACCCCGATCCACCACATGGCAGATAATATTAGGATTTCCAGCAAAGGTCTCATTACTGAAATGATCTCTGGGGGAATCGAATGTTGATGGATTGCAACAATGTATCAAGAAGAGCAGAAAAGAGAAACATATTTTAAGTAACAACAAAATCCTTCCCGTCTATGTGTGTAATATAGTGACACCTAATGGGAGTGTTGAGCATTGCAGCCAATCCTCCCATCCCCCCCAATATGCAGGTTAGTCCGTTCCGGATAGAGAGGAGCGGTGCTCTTGGGGGGGGGGAGAGGAGCGGTGCATGACAGCTGACCTATTCATCAAAGGGGTGACGTCTCCCAGGCGATGTATTTAACTCTTTATGGTCATATTCTGGTGACAACTCAACATTTGGCAATATTCCTTTACTTTTCCTCTACCTGATAACACTAAACAGGACAAAGACCGAAAATGGAGCGCAGAGAGCAGAAAAAAACGCTGCAATCCTCTTTTTTTTCCGAAACAGAAACTTTTTTTTTTTTGTTTGTTTTGTTTTCGTTTGTTCTGTGCGCGTTTTTTTCTTCTGTACTTCACATAATTTGTACAATTTCATTTTTGCCCTCAATATGATGATCCAATAATGACACCTAGGCCATGACACCTGACACCCTGTAATGGGCGGAGCCCTTTGTATCTGTCCCAATGTCTGCCATGACAGGACACAAGGATCTCCTGTGATCGGCCGATGTTTTTGTTCCCGGCTCCTTGTAGTCAGCTAGAGATGAGCCGAGTTGTGTATTAGAGGGAAATGTTTGGTGATCTCCCCTCTTCCCTCGTGTAATGTGAAGCGGATTGTAGTGGGGGATGGGAGCAGATTGTTTTGTGGGTAGAATGTGTCCCCCCAAGCAGGTAGAAGGCAGAATGGGCCCCCCACTCCGGAGGATGGTTGTGTTTGCAGCCTCTGTGTTCAGCCTCGTGAGCAGCTCCTGACAGCTGGAAGTGACCCCCGATAAGTGACAGTCCAGGGAGCAGATCGGCTCCCCGGTGCACATCGGACATCGTTCTATTTTCGGAATAAAATCGGTTTTATATCTACCGGGAAACACATGAAGAGAGAGAAGAATCCCTGACTGTGGAGAGACAGCCAGTGGGCGTGTCTGATGTGTAACCAATAGCAGCTCAGAGTGGAGTTGTGTGTCAACCAATCGCAGTGTTAGAAGGTCTGTATATAAGGCGGAGCGCCGTGTGATTTGTAATGAACTATTGTGGAAACATTTCCCGAGTCATGACGGAGACTGAGAGCGCCCCAGCCGCCGCTCCTCCAGCGGAGGCCGCCGCCAAGAAGAAGCCGGCTAAGAAGGCGTCAGCCGGAGGAGGAGCCAAGAAAGGCATCAAGAAGGCGTCCGGTCCCGCCGTGTCCGAGCTCCTCGTCCAAGCCGTGTCCGCTTCCAAGGAGCGCAGCGGGGTGTCCCTGGCCGCCCTGAAGAAAGGTCCTGTCCGCCGGAGGATACGATGTGGACAAGAACAAGAGCCGCCTGAAGATCGCCCTCAAGGCGCTGGTGACTAAGGGGAGCCTCGTCCAGGTCAAAGGCCATGGGGCCTCCGGATCGTTCAAGATCAACAAGAAGCAGCCCGACGGCGCCAAGGCGAAGCCCAAGAAACCGGCCGCCAAGAAAACCGGCCGCCGCCAAAAAGAAGAGCCAAAAAGCCTTCGGCGGCGGCCAAGCCCAAGAAACCGGCCGCAAAGTCCCCCAAGAAGAAGGCGGCCGGAAAAGCCCCCACCGCAGCCAAGAGAGCCCCAAGAAGAAGCCGGCCGCCAAGAGACCAGCAAAGGCTGCAGCCAAGAAGGTGACCAAGAGCCCCAAGAAGAGCAAAGCTGCAGCCAAGCCGAAAAAAGGCGCCAAGAGTCCCGCTAAGGCCAAGCCGGCAGCTAAGAAGGCGGCTAAGCCCAAGAAGGCCGCTCCGAAGAAGAAATAATGGGCGGCGACCTCCTTCATCTCCCCCCCCAAAGGCTCTTCTCAGAGCCCCCCACCTCCCCCCCAACAGAGCTCTCCATACATACACCGACCACGAGCCGCATCCAGTCTCCATCCTCCTCACATTGTACACTTGTCCCTTATAGGTCATCCAATGATTCCTCCGATCCTACAAATGATTACTGGTTGGCCAAAGGAGAGATCCTTCCCGATACATTTCACAGGCCCGACCCCCCTCCACACACACCGACATCTGTCATAGACGGATCGGAGATGTCATTTCCGCACACTCTCTGTGGGATGGGGGGGAGGGGGGGGGGTAACAATGAACATTTCCCGCACACTGTGGGATGGATTGGGGGGGGGGGGGGGGGGGTAACAATGAACATTTCCCGATCCTTCTACAAGGAATTCCCAGCCTTCATTATTATTGTTGTGAAGTTGTACGGAAACGCCATGTAATGATCGGGGACACATCATCCTCTGGACGGGATCTAAT